GTGTCCAGTTTTAGGGTCTTACACAGAATTAAACCAAACAACATGAATCAAACATGCACTTTATTTATTTCCACTAAATAACAAAAGTACATCAAATCGGATTGAAGCTAAGGGCATACAAAACTGTCTAACACTTCACCCCTTGCCTTGGTCGATCTCCCTAGAAGCATCTCAAATATGTTTCAAGACTCTTGTTAACCACCTCTACCTGTCCATCAGATTAGGGGTGGTAGCTAGTTGATTTGAAGAGTTTAACTCCATGTAGACGAAAAAGTTCAGCCCAGAAACGACTCATAAAAATAAGGTCCCTATCAGACACAATTGAGTTGGGGAGCCCATGAAGGTGCACAATTTCCCGAAGGAACAATTCAGCATTTGTGACTGCTGTGAATGGGTGTGATAGAGGTAGAGAATGACTGTATTTCGTCAATCTATCAAACACCACAAGAATAATGGTTTTACCGGAGGAAACAACTAACCCCGTGACGAAGTCCATTGATATATCATCCCAAACTTGAGTTGAGATTGGGAGTGGTTGCAAGAGGCCTGCTGGTGTTGTAGTAGCTGTCTTATTTTGTTGACATACTGCACACTCGGCTATGAAATTCTGAGTCGAGGTACACATGCCTTTCCAATGGAATTGTGTGGCAATGCGTTTCTGTGTTTGTAGAATGCTGGAGTGACCACTTGTGGGCGAGGCATGAAATAATTCAAGGAGCTTCTTCAGATGTGCAGAATCTGCTGGGATTTCCAGGCGTCCCTTGAAGAAGAGTAGATCATCCTTGATGGTATACCCGGGGTGCTGTGATGGATTTTCCAATACTTGGGCTTTTAATTGCTGTAACTCTGTATGGGAGTGGGCTTCCTTTTGAAGCTGATCCATGAGTGGAGAGGTTGGGGATGACATGAGTAGCTGAAATGATTGTGGGTGCCGTGAGAGGGCGTCAGTAACGCGGTTAGTAGCCCTCGCTTTGTACTCAATTGTGTAGTCGTACCCCAATAATTTGGACATCCACTGTTGTTGTTCCGGTGATAGGACGACTTCTTCTAACAAGAACTTCAAACTTCAATGGTCGGTCCAAATTATGAATCGTCTACCGAGCAAGTAGGATCGCCAACACTGCATTTCTAAGACCATTGCTATTAATTCTTGTTCGTAAACTGATTTGGCCCATTTCTGTGATGTCAAGGCCTTGTTGAAAAAGGCTAATGGTCGGCCTTCTTGCATGAGGAGAGCCCCAACACCTTGACCGGAGGCATCACATTCTACGATGAAGTCTTTTGTGAAATCGGGTAGTGCTAATGTTGGAGGTGTCGAAACAGTATGTTTCAATTGCTCAAAAGCTTGTTGGGTCTGAGCTGACCAATGAAAGGCATCTCGTTTTGGTAATTGGGTCAAAGGGGCAGCTATTAGGCTATAGCTTTTGTTGAAGCGGCGATAATAACCTGTTAGGCCCAAGAAGGCCCTCAATTCTTTCACATTTTTGGGTTGCGACCAGCCCAATATACTAGAGGGTGACCTGTAGATGGTTTAGATGTTCCT